GCGGCGGAGGCGAGCGAAAATCCGCGGGGGAGAAACAATGGCAGGGGCAGTGGTCCAATGCGCTGGGGTTTATGGGTGGAAAAGTAGGCGCATTGATGTTCATTATTTTACGTTTGATTTAGTTTGAGCTTTGGCGTTTAGTTTGTGTTGTATGATTCAAAAGCTTGGGTTTGGTTTTTCAGATCTATCTGATTTAAGTGTGGATGAGAGGATCAGAAGTACTGTTGTTTTGATTTTCGGCACCTCTCGTATTGTTTTTCGGCTTGACTCCGACCCCTTCACAAAGCAGGGGGGCGGATCCTCGGAGCAGGGGGGCACGCTATTTTCTTTAAAACGAAATGGCGTTGCTGACATATTCCTCACATATATTTTGAGTATTTTTTAGGGAGATAGTACTTCTTCGCGTTTTACCTGCGGACGAAGGTTTGGTGGATGAATGGAATAATTTGTCTTAGGATTGCATACATCTTCTTGGTAATGGTAGGACACTAGCTAGGCGGATTTAGAGACGCACCGAGATATTGTGACGAATTGGCGGTGAAAGGAAAGGCGTCTTTGAACGGCGTTCGTTTTATTTTTCTGGATGAAAAGAATTTGAGTTGAGAATTTATAGAAGAGAGCGAGAGTGATTGGCGTGTGTTGGTATGCTATTTGGATACTTTTGTCGTGTCTGAAGTATTTTCGTTTTCTTGGTTTTGATTGTGTTTTGGGATGAACTGGTATGAGAAGGATGACTATGATATTTTCCCGGAGCATGACGACGCATACGAGCAGGGGGGCTATTCGATACACTCGTAGCATAGCATGCGGGTGGTATATTGCGTATNTTCGTTTTATTTTTCTGGATGAAAAGAATTTGAGTTGAGAATTTATAGAAGAGAGCGAGAGTGATTGGCGTGTGTTGGTATGCTATTTGGATACTTTTGTCGTGTCTGAAGTATTTTCGTTTTCTTGGTTTTGATTGTGTTTTGGGATGAACTGATATGAGAAGGATGACTATGATATTTTCCCGGAGCATGACGACGCATACGAGCAGGGGGGCTATTCGATATACTCAAACTCGTAGCATAGCATGCGGGTGGTATATTGCGTATACTTATGCGGGTATTGCAGTGACGAACTTCGGAGGAACAAGAAATTTCTTTATGTTTTCCTTGGGAGTGTGGTAGATTGGTGGAAATTCATGGAGATTCGTTTTGGGTGTTTGAGCGTTATGCGTGATGACTTGATGCCGTGATGGAATGACGAGCTCAAGCATGCCCCCGATGAATACAACACGCTTCCCAACACGTTTTTACCCATCCACGCCCCGTCATGGGCCACCCGCTCTAAACTCCAAGCACATAGAACTGGGTCACCCGAATTATCGATCACCGCCCTGCGCACTCCCGGTCCACGGTTCCCCTCCTTCGGCGTTCGTGGGCTCCGCGGCGGCGCTCTCCCTAGCATCGCCGCGATCAGCGGCACCCTCCATGGTGCCAGCTGGCTCCTTCTGCTTGCTTGCCTTCATGGTATCTTCCACTAACGACATTAGCTGGCTCATCTGATCCGTCAGCGAGCTAACTTGCGTCTTCAGGGCCACGAGCTCTTCTCTTGACCTCTTTCTGTCTTCCGCTGCAGAGTCGCTGGAGGAGTNGCCCTGCGCACTCCCGGTCCACGGTTCCCCTCCTTCGGCGTTCGTGGGCTCCGCGGCGGCGCTCTCCCTAGCATCGCCGCGATCAGCGGCACCCTCCATGGTGCCAGCTGGCTCCTTCTGCTTGCTTGCCTTCATGGTATCTTCCACTAACGACATTAGCTGGCTCATCTGATCCGTCAGCGAGCTAACTTGCGTCTTCAGGGCCACGAGCTCTTCTCTTGACCTCNGGCTTGTAGCTACGGGCTAGGCCTTCAATTCAAGTCACGCAGCAAGCTCCACCTCTCAGCGGTAGTCCAGCTACAGCGTATGGCGCAATCTCGCTCTCAATCAGAAACTTCGCTCTCAATCACACGAAAACCTTGTTTTTAATGGTTGGCAATAATGCAAACCGATACGAATTCTAACGAATGTTTCTGGTTTAAGGGTTTTAGTGTTGTGACAAGAATGCAGTTTGGGATGACGGGAATGTCTTGCACTAAATAATGTTTCGGTCAGGTATGTGGTATGTATGTAATGATAATAAGGATAGTATATTAAAGTTTGAGTAGGGGGGCTGTTAGACGTACTCACAGCAACGACAGATTACTGCAAGCAAGAAATTTCCAAGCAGATGGAGCGGGGAGTTTGGGGGTTCAGCAGTTGCTTTGGATTCGAANTGGTTGGCAATAATGCAAACCGATACGAATTCTAACGAATGTTTCTGGTTTAAGGGTTTTAGTGTTGTGACAAGAATGCAGTTTGGGATGACGGGAATGTCTTGCACTAAATAATGTTTCGGTCAGGTATGTGGTATGTATGTAATGATAATAAGGATAGTATATTAAAGTTTGAGTAGGGGGGCTGTTAGACGTACTCACAGCAACGACAGATTACTGCAAGCAAGAAATTTCCAAGCAGATGGAGCGGGGAGTTTGGGGGTTCAGCAGTTGCTTTGGATTCGAATTGATGGTCCCAACTTTGCCGTATATTACAGGATTGAGGGCGGGGGTATGTGTGTGTCTACAACGTTCATGGTGATTGTGTGCTGTGGTTTCTCACTTGTTTTCTTTCCTCTTTTCCCTCCTTCCTGTGTGCAATCAAGTCCTTCTTCCCCGGCTATCACGCTACCACGGCTATCGCGCCACGGCTTTCACGCCAATCCTGGCTATCACACCACCTGGCTATCACGCCTTCCGGACATCCACGTCCTTACATATTCCTTTACACCACGACTATCACGTCACCAGGCTTCCACGCCACATCCAGAGATACCATCCCCGAGCTATCACGCTCCATCCCAAAGTAGAAGGCTGTCATACCCATCATAGTTAGTTCCTACACTGTACAGTTGGCGGCTACCGCGCCGCTGGCTCTTTGATTTCCCAACCAAGGGACCCCGCGCGCGAAGGCACCGGCGCACAAAGCTACTCAACATACTCTTATCGTCAGAAGTTTGGATTTTCAACGGTGTTCGCACTCTCACCTTCCTTGGGCGGAGAGGAGATAATCTCCGAACATTTTCTTGAGCTCACCATCTTCTGAGTTCAAAGAAGCGAAATAAGAACGACATGTAGTTGTAGGCCCGCGAGTTTTTGCGAAACTTGACAGCCCAATCTTCGACAGAGGAGGTGTAGACTTCAGGACCGCCTACGCGGGATTTTAAGATTATCTAGAAAAAGAACAGGGAGGGGGCACGCAGACCCTATCTCTAACTCTAACCCTAACCCCAAAGCACGGATTGAATACTTTATCCCATATGTTTGCTTACTCGATTTTGCTGCGTAGACTAACGAGACTACATCTCCTCCATCAGCGGCGGGAGCGGCGGCAGTCCCGGGAGAACGCCTTGCCGTTCTTACAGCACATGCCCTTGGATTCCTTGGCAAAAAGCTTGGCACCACATTGCTGACATGGTTGGGCGTACTTCAGGTTGACGCCCGCATCGTCACGTGCGGCAGCTAGGCCTTCTTTCCGTCGGACAAAAGCACCTTGAAGGTCGGACAGGCCATCACCTTCTACACGGAACATTTCTATCTCCCACACACTCCGTTTCTCTGCTACTACTGCACCTCTAGCAGCACGTTGGTCTGCCCGCCTCTAGCTTCGGCGTTCGTTGATGCCTGTCTTGTTGATGTCGTGACTCTGGCGTCGGCGTTCGTTGATGCCTGTCTTGTTGATGTCGTGACTCTGGCGTCGGCGTTCTTTGATGCTTGTCTTGATATGGTGTCTCGGCGTCTCTCCGCGTTCTTTTCGATGTTGGCGGCCCTCCGCTCGGCGTACAAGATGCGGTCCCGCTGGTTTCTCCGCAAGCGCTGTCTANTTGCTGACATGGTTGGGCGTACTTCAGGTTGACGCCCGCATCGTCACGTGCGGCAGCTAGGCCTTCTTTCCGTCGGACAAAAGCACCTTGAAGGTCGGACAGGCCATCACCTTCTACACGGAACATTTCTATCTCCCACACACTCCGTTTCTCTGCTACTACTGCACCTCTAGCAGCACGTTGGTCTGCCCGCCTCTAGCTTCGGCGTTCGTTGATGCCTGTCTTGTTGATGTCGTGACTCTGGCGTCGGCGTTCGTTGATGCCTGTCTTGTTGATGTCGTGACTCTGGCGTCGGCGTTCTTTGATGCTTGTCTTGATATGGTGTCTCGGCGTCTCTCCGCGTTCTTTTCGATGTTGGCGGCCCTCCGCTCGGCGTACAAGATGCGGTCCCGCTGGTTTCTCCGCAAGCGCTGTCTATCTATCGCAGTGTTCTTGTTGATGTCCATGTTGTTTGTGGGGACGATTACTTCGCAGGTGGATTGTGGGTGTGTCTTGGGTGTCTTGTGGTCATCTGTAAAAAAATCTCTACGGATTGTGGAATGTGCGCGTTCAGAAAAAGATGAGATTTTTCTTCCCGCTCTCAATCCACAACTCCGTCTGATGTTGGCGTGAGCCATGTCTGCTACCTGCTACATGTGTGTGGTTCACCATCGGTGCCACAATTCAACCACCGTAGCGCTGTCGTGAGAAGCACGAAGGACGCTACGAGCGCTGCTGCTGTGGCGGACATATCAAACGTTGCAGCACAGTTGAGCAGTGCTCCGCACGCGCTGTACTATTCACGAAGTTCGTGCGGAGATAACTGTAGTCTGTATCGTCCGAGGTGGCCACCATGCGCTGGGTCAGGGCACCCGGCATTATCTAGTGGCATGGGTTTGTGTAGACCCGTGCTTGAGGAGGTATTGGGGTCCGTGCTGGCAAGCACACCACAGCAGTGGGACATAGGCTGTCAAATACCGTTTGCGTGAAACGTGACGTTGCAGCAGTTGAGCAGTGCTCCGCACGCGCTGGACCGTCCACGAAGTTCGTGCGGAGATTGCTGTAGTCTGTATCGTCCGAGGTGGCCACCATGCGCTGGGTCGGGGCACCCGGCATTACCTACTGGCATGAGTTTGTGTAGACTCGTGCTTGAGGAGGTATTGGGGTCCGTGCTGATGAGGACACCACTGTTGATGATAGGCTGTCCAATACCTTTTGCGTGAAACTTGAGAAAAAAAAAAAACACACACACACACACACAAGATAGAAGTGTTTTGTGTTTTCAACCGCACTAAGACTGACGTCTTTTCATTGGTCAGCCGGTTAGCGCGGTCGATGCTAATATTAAAAAAAAAAACACACACACACACACACAAGATAGAAGTGTTTTGTGTTTTCAACCGCACTAAGACTGACGTCTTTTCATTGGTCAGCCGGTTAGCGCGGTCGATGCTAATATTAAAAAAAAAAACACACACACACACACACAAGATAGAAGTGTTTTGTGTTTTCAACCGCACTAAGACTGACGTCTTTTCATTGGTCAGCCGGTTAGCGCGGTCGATGCTAATATTAAAAAAAAAAACACACACACACGAAGCTTTTTGCCGGGAAAATTTTGACGACGAGAGGGCCTTAGTTCGCCTGAAAGCTTTTCATACTAACAGGATTCGGAGACGGTTTACCTTCGAGCTAGCTCGTTTTCTGTCGATGCGAACTCGCGATGTGTTCAAACGTCATGGGCTACTGATCGACCAACTTCCACCAGGGCCAATCGGTTGGGATCTCTGCGACAACGATAGTAATGAGGGTAATTCTTTTGGGAGTGACGAAGACGAAGGAAAGGGAAAGGGGAGAAAGGAGGANGAACTCGCGATGTGTTCAAACGTCATGGGCTACTGATCGACCAACTTCCACCAGGGCCAATCGGTCGGGATCTCTGCGACAACGATAGATAGTGGTGAGATTAATTCTGTTGGATAAACCGGGTAGGCCGAAGCTTGTAGGTTTGTGGAGAAAGGCAGGTCGGCCAGTGAGGGCCGAGATGGGAAAGTCTTGTATTAGAGGAAAGAGGGAAGGGCAGAGACCACTCGAGGCCGAGCAGCCGAAGAGTGCGTCACCACACCTATCCGTCACGCAATTCAGATCACTCATCGAATCTCCGAAGAAACCAAGCAGAAACTCCCTGTTCCTCCGCGATCTCCCAACTGCAATCTCCGTAGATCCATGTCCCATATTAAACCACATTACTATGCTACGAGTATACCTTACAGCCCCCCTGCTCGTATGCNCTCTTCCTCTGGTCCATCCTTTCTCAGCACTTCCCCGCAACGACGCCCGCAAAGTACTTATGTCCCTCGCACAACTGAAAGCCTTAAACAATCTATCGAGTCAAACCTGTCTGTGGAACTCCTCTTCATTTTCTTTCCAAAACACGGATCAATTCGTAGAAAATCGCCT